AACGGAAACCCTGGCCGGCGGTCAACGAATACCCCCTACCGTCCTTATTTTTAAACACCCCAGTCGTGTGCCAGCGAGCTGAGTTACTTCAGATAGTCTTTGTCTCTCGGGAGTATCCCAAACCTCGGATTAAATATGGCGTTAAAAGCTCCACTAATTTGCTTGTGAGTTAGGATCAAGGGTTACTTAGCTCTGTAACTGATCTCGTGGTATATATATAAAATATATATAAATCTTGCAATTTAGAGCAGGAAGAACTTCAGCAATAGTATCAATCAAACATTCTGTTGATACTTCAGTCATTTATGTATTCTGTTCATACTTTTTCTATTAACCGTATATTCTACAGTAAGCGCATGATTTACACCCTACACTTTCATGTATACACCTCACATTTCACAATTTGCAAAAAGATGGTCTGAATACCAACAGTTTCAGTCATGACAGGGTCACTGCTGACAGTACTGCCAAGTGGTCTGCCACACCGCTGCCTGCCCTCAGGTTTCCATCCCAACCTGCACAGGTGTCTTTACTTGCCCTCGGGTTTCCATCCCGGCGCTCACTGGTGTCTCAGACTCCGGTTGGAAGGTCTGTGTACCAGAGGGGCTTGGCCAGATGTCTCCACAGGTGGGCTGCTGAGCGCTTACCCAACAGGCATCTCAGAGTCCCAGGCAAGGCTCTTGAAGAGCCAAATGACTAATACAAGACCAACAAGCCCACTACCTTTGGCCACGTTACTGGACTTCCCTCTTGTTTGCATAATGGTTAGATGAGCACCTAAATTTAGTCAATCTAATTACAGTATTTTAAAAAATTACAGAGTTTTCTTCTTTCTCAGGAGTAGAATTGTTCTTGATTGGTTGATGCAGCAGTATTACAGGCCTCCCTTTCTTTGACAAAGAGCTAGCAAACAGCAGACTTGAGTGACAAGACTCCTCACTTGAGTGAAAGCAAAGTGCAGGTGATCTCTCTAAATGCATACAATTTGGCAGGAATTCCTTCAGAACCCCTGCAGCTGTATAGCATGAGGAGAGAACCCTCTGACCTTTTTATATTCCTGCTGCTGAAGATTAATGTGAAAAATCAGGGCTGTCCAATTTGTTGCTCAGTAAGTGCAGCATGGGCTATATTATCATAGTTTTATTCAGGGTTGGAAATAAAAGAAGCAAGCAAAAGTAAGACCTATGACAGGACAGGGACTGAAAGGCATCATCCTGCAGTTTACATCTGTCCAGTCATGATTTGCATGGCCTACCTTAGATACTACAGAAATATTAGAAGAAAAAGTCTGTAACTAATTTTATGTTTTAATTTACAATTCTTGGAACTGCTCTGGTCATGCTACAAAATGAAGGCTGATTTGTTTGTTTTTCAGATCAGCTAAACTGTTAATGAGTGCTGGCAGCAGTGAAGAAGATATAGATGATATTATTGATGAAATCTGCAACGACAGCAGCTTTGCCAAAACACCTCTGGTGAGTAGGAGTCTGGAGAAATGCAGAACGGATGAGGCTCAGCGATGGAAAGAAAAGCACCGTAAACTACAACCGTTTTAAATCAAAAAATGGACTAAAACAACCTGTAGGATAAACTTGGAAAATAAAGCAGAAAGGAAAATGCAACAATCCTATAGTGAGGAACAGGAGAGGTATAAAGGGATGGTCTTACCCAGGCAGTTACAGGAAGTTAAAGGAAATGCTAGTTCAAGATAGAGCACAGTGTCAAATATCACAGAATCATGGAATGGTTGAGGTTGGCAGGGACCTCTAGAGGTCATCTGGTCCAGCCATCTGCTCAGGCAGGGCTACCTAGAGCTGGTTGCCCAGGACCGTGTCCAGACAGCTTTTAAATATCTCCAAGGATGGAGACTGTGCAGCCTCTCTAAGTAACCTGTTCCAGTGTTTGACCACCCTCACAAGAAGTAAAGAAGTTTTTTCATGTGTTTAACTGGAATTTCTTGTATTTCAGTTTGTGCCCATTGTCTCTCCTCCTGTCAGTGGGCCCCACTGAAGAGTCTGGCTACGTCTTCTTTATTCTTTCCCGTTATGTATTTTTATACATTGATAAGATTCTCTTGACCCTTGTCTTCTCCAGGCTAAACAATTCCAGCTCTCTTAGCCTCTACCTGTATGTCAGATGGTCTGAGTCCTTAATCACCATTGTGTCCATGTCTCTTTTGTACTGGGCACAGCACCCCAGACATGTCTATGAGGCCATATCTGGAGTACTGTGTCCAGTTCTGGGCTCCCCAGTACAAGAGAGAGATGGAGCTACTGGAGAGCCTCCAGCAAAGGCCCGTGGAGATGATTAAGAGACTGGAGTATCTTTCATGTGAGGAGAGGCTGAGAGAGCTGGGACTGTTCAGCCTGGAGAAGAGAAGGCTCCAGTGGGATCTTATCAATGTGTGTAAATACCTGATGAGTGGAGTAAAGAAGGGGCCAGACTCTCCTCTGTAGTGCCCAGTGACAAGACAAGAGGCAATGAGCACAAACTGAAACATGAAATTCCACCCGTACACCAGAAAACACTTTTTTACTGCGAGGGTGGTCAAACACTGGGACAGGTTGCCCAGAGAGGTTGTGGAGTCTCCATCTGTGGAGATTTTCAAAACCCAACTGGACACAGTCCTGGGCAAGCTGCTGAAGCTGACCCTGCTTTGAGCTGTCCCTCCTAATGTAGCCCAGGATGCTGTTGGCCTTCTGTGCTGCAAGGGCACACTGCTGGCTCATGGCCAACTTATCATCGACCAAATTTCCCACGGCCTTCTCTGCAAAGCTGCTTTCCAGCTGGTCAGCCCTCTGTGTTCTGCTGCATGAGGGTTATTCCTCCCCAGGGGCCGGAGTTTGCATTTCCCCTTAGTTGAACTTCAAGAGATTCCTCTCAGCCCATTTCTGCAGTCTTTTGAGGTCCCTCTGAATGGCAGTGCAGTCATCTGGCATACCAACCACTGCTCCCTGTTTTGTACCATCTGCAAATGACTTCTGTTGCATGACAGCAGGAGATGGAGATGAAGCCGCAAATTTACATCGTCAAGACAGTCATAATGATAGAAGACACAGAAGATAGATATTCATTTAGGTATCACCAGTAGAAAATTGTGTTATTTATACTTAATAACCCCCTGTGCAGATTCTCTTACTTTCATGAGTGACGTTGGTTTTGCTTTGTTTGTCTTTGATTTCTAACAGAGTGGCTAAATCTGAACCAACAAAAAACACTTGTATACCACAATACGTATGTCTGAGTGAGAGAGAATTATGTCAGTAAATCTGTATAATTTTATTATTTTATATCCCTAGGACTTCCCATTTAGGATCTAGAATTCTAGTATTTTAGAATTCAAATAAACTGTTTTATGTGCAGCAAATAAGAAACTTTTCAAAGACACTTTATCTTTTTGAATAATTTAAGTCCTTGATGTGTTTTCAGTAAAACAAAAGCTCGAAAACATTGAGGGAGAAGGTTCCTAAATTAAAACTGTTTTTAAAAGCAAAATTATTAAGAAGAGGGCATGAAATACTAAGTCTTGATTGTAAAGTCAAAGTGATCATGTGGTGTTGAATTCCTTCAGGCAGAGCTGGGAATTCAGTATGGGAAGAGAAGCCTCATTCCTCATTTACCTGTTACTTCAGCAGCTTTTGTCTCAAGGAGCCTCACAGAAACCTGAGCAAGAAAATTCCGAAATTCTTATTCCCCTTCTTCTGTGACTGAGATTTTCTAGCTCCTGCTTATTAAGTAAAACAGAATATTGTTACCTTGCTGTAATGCTGCCTTTTATTCTTTGATTACTTTTTAAATAGAAATTGAAGTCTAACTCTGCAAGTCTCACACCTGAAAGCAATAGTGCTGTTGTACAAGCTCATAGGAAAAGGTAAGTGAAAAATGGTTTGGCTGGTTGAACATAGCTTGATTATAGCTTGTTGTTAGTCTAATAATATTACTACTGTTTAATCTGTGTTGTTATTAACTAAGAAAGAAACTGAGTATTTAGAGAAGCACTCTTTTTAAAGAAAAACAAAGGTAAACAAAGATAATTTTGAAGAATTACTAGTGTGCTTTCATGTGGTCAAAATTATTTATTGTAAGTTTATTTAAGTTATTGAACAACAGCTTTCTTTGCCTTATGGACATACAGATTTATCACATGCTGCAATATATAGTCCCATGTATATTTGGTATAGAGAGTGGTTGTCATCATAGAGTTTTTCTCTGAACACCCTGGTAATGAAAATTTTAAAATTCTATACTTTGTAATCATTCAGATGCTTTGCCTATATTTAATAAATATTATTTTAGAAATACCATGCTGTTAAACTAGGAGAAGCATTATACTACTTTCTCCAAAATGTTTTGCTATAATTTAATATTTTTTAATGAAATCCATATAGATGCTGTCCAGTGTACCTGGGTGGAAGCTCTTCACCATATGGCATAGGAACAAATATTTCAAAAAGGTAGGAAACGTGAAAAAAAATGTCCCGCTTGCTTTATCATTATTTTTATTCACAACTGTGTTTCTGTGGTGGTACGGAGTTCTGCATTTGAACTGGACAGGACAGCCCTATATTCATCTAAATATGTGGCTGCCTGTAACTGCAGTTGAAGTCAGGTGGTCCCTTCCAGTCCTCTGCTATTGACCACTAGATCTTTTGTTCATCTGAGGAGTTGAAAGATGTGTGCAAATGAGACATGAGACTCCAAAAATCAGTAACATGTAGTTAAGGAAATCGCTGCTGTAGAGTATTGTTATTTTTCCCTGCCTCTCTTCAGCTTTCTGTGTGATGCCGAGTATGTGACTTAAATCAGTGGGCTGGTTTAAATCATCCCAGAGCCTGAACTGAAAATAGCCAGAGTGCTTTGCAGCTGCAGCTGAACGTAGCAGGAGAGGTACTTTAAAGATTTATCGCCAACATCCTATAGAACACTATTGCATTTCCGTGTGGGATTTTTTTGCAGCAAGTAATTATGCACTTGATGCATATTTGGATGCGAGTCAGGTGCCATACCAGTGAGGAAGACCAAAGAGAATATATTAAGAGAATATCAGTTTATTTTATGTGTTCAGTGAGGTTAGGAACCTGTAAAAATAATACATGATCATATAGTTAAAACACATACCATAATGAATGTGCCAGAGATGTAAAAAAATTAAGATTACGGGTAACCTTGCTTCTAGTATTTCTGAGTGAGTGCTGTGCTTTAAAACAGTTACGATCTGTGTAGCTTCTCTGATTGTAATAAGCTCTTGGAGCTTTCTGTCCTTTTTTGACCAGAACATGTGATCAACTACGTTGTACTGCTTGCGACTTCCGTGTGTCACTTTTCAATGACTACATCTGGGATCAGTCCTGTGATTACCTTTTTTTCAGGTATGTCTGAGGTGGGTTTGGTATTAGTATTGTGTTACTGTGCTTTGGGGCTTGATAGGAATGGGAAAGGTGAAAAGTCGTGAGCACTCCTGTGTTACCTTAAAAAGGAGCATGTGTGCAACCTGTTCGGTGTTCAGGTGGGAGAGTCTGCAGGGAGAGGGATGCAACATCTCCCATGATCTGCTTTCATGCCTTTCCATTTCTTCCCCCACCACTCTCCCTCTCTGCTTTTAAAAAGAATTCAAGTTTCATGGATCAAAAGGCAACTTTACTGCTGAAATAAGCAGATAATCTGTGTGATGGGTTGGCCTCTGGTGTGCCATTGCAGGATGCCTACAAAATAAATGCAGACTGTTCAGCATGTACTTCTGACCATACCTTCAGTCATACAGACTGTGAATGTTCGAGTCGGATTTTCTTTTTTCCAGTATCAAGTATTATGCTGTCATGTTCAGTGAAAATCAAATAGTTCGATTTCTTAACAGACTTGTTTTTGAAGCAAGGTTTGGTTAAATGGAGGGGTGGGATTTTTGTTTTCTTGTTATATTGTGATGTCTTTGACTTCAGTTATTTTTATTTTTTTTAAGACTTAAAATTAAGAAGTTCCTATTTCCAGTTTCTCTAAAACTGTATCTAATGCCAAGACTTAGTGAAGGGTAATGTAGTAGGCATGCTCCTAATACAGACGTCGAATTTGAATTCCTCTTATTTTAGTAAAGTCTTCGTATTGCCCGTTAACTGACGGAGGTCGTGGATGTGTTCGGAGTATGTGCTTGGCCACCAGGGGGTGTGGCAGCTGGAGTAGAACAGTAATGGATACATCATCTCCTTTTCCATTATTTTTCTTATATTACATGTTAGGTTTTTCCTGTATTTGCCTTCCAGTTTTGGAGTTTGTATTTCTCTCTGAATGAAAATTTTATTTTCCCATTACTTAAAGCAGTGTTAGAAATACAGTGCTGCATTAGTCTCCTGAGATGAGTTTGGTAGCTGGAAAGGTTAAATAGATGATTCTTTTATTTACTCGAAGTCTAAGTTACCTGCTTCTGAGATCTTGAAATTAATTAAGTTTAAAAAAAAAAAGACATGAAAGGCATTAGTATCAGATACTTGTAACATTGATTAAAATCTGTAATCTTTAGCAAGATATTTAGCTATTTATTTTGACTAACCTGAATTTTAAAAAGCAAACTTTAAGATTAAACATTTGCCTTCCATGCATAGGTGTCTGACCTCTTTTTCAAAAAATTCTTCCTTTGATGTTTGTTTTGGGTTTTCTTTATTTAGCTGGGCTTGTTAATGTTGGTTTTGAGCAATTCAGTGGCCAGTGATTGATGGCCAGGAGGAGCTCATGAGAGCAGGGATAGTTAAAATGCCAAATTTTCATTTGTTTTTTGAAACAACTTGGTTTTGTAACAGCCATGCTGATTTTTCATTTGTTGTGGTTGATGTTTGCACAGGAATTATTTGTGGTTTGATGTACATTCTTCTCTCTGATGGCCATTTCATTTCAGTCACTTTAACAATCATCCTGAGTAACAGTTCCTGATGAAAAGTTTAACTCTGTAGTTGTACCCATTCTGCATAGGAATTCTTACAGTAAGTCTGGTAAGATAAATACATTTTTGGATAATTTCTTAACACACGGATTAACGCTACCTGGTTTTCTTCCCAACTCTTTCTCTGGAGGCTGGCACAGGGTTTCTAAACCCAACAGAGAACATTGCTTACAAAAACATCAATCTCCAGTTGATGTGAGTATACAGCAACTATGCACCGAGGGTGCTCTCAGGAAAGGATTGTGTTCAAAACAGAATTTAAACATATCCCTAAATTAATTCATAACAGTGGTACTCAGAAATGTTCTTAAGAGCTTTTCTGAATTGAAATGGCCTCATGAATCTTTCTTCTTTAAAAAAAAAAAATGCATGATCCTAAACTGAATTCACTTGATTGGCAGGAATAACGTGCCTGAGCTCAGTAAACTAAGAGCAAAGATGATAAAGAAGAAAGGAGCACGAGCATATGCTTGTCAGTGCAGCTGGAGATCCATTGATGAATTAACTGACCTCCAAACAGACCAGCAGCTTCGGTGGGTTTGTGGTAAACATGCAGAATGAAGTCCTCTTGTGTGTGGTACCTACTTGTGTGGAAACAGGTCATAAACTCGAGTTTTCTGAGAACAGATGGAAACCTGAATACTTATATCTAGAAATAGATTATAATACCCTGACTTCAACCTGAAAACTTTTTTTCAATTTAAATGTCTTGCAAGCAATATGGGGTGTTGAATTATTAGAAGAAACAACCAATTTGGAGGCTTTCTGGAAGGTAAATAAGGTTAAAGCTCATACTCAGTAGTGTTAAAGAAAGGAAGAGATAATAGATTTAGGCATGGGGCAAAGCACCTTGAGACTGCTCCTCGTATCTAGCAGAGAGCCTTATTTCCCATGTCTGCAAAATCTTGGACTCAAAATGGTGGGTTGGGATGCAGCCATGACACACAAGCGTATGAATTTCTGTACAGAAAATAATACTGCTGTTCTGCTTTGCTCATAGCTGTTAATGAGCAAGTGGTTGTAGATCTCTTAAAAAATTACTGTGAGATCAGCTCTCACCTCGAAGGTTTCAGCACACCCCAAAACTTTATTTTACCCACCAGTAGCCAAAAACTGCAGGTGCTGGAAATCTCCTTCTAGTTCCTACTGCTTGCTTCAAAGCACTTTCTGCTGACTAAAGACTTTTACCACAGTGAATTTCTTGGACTTCCCTTCAGCCTTCACTGCAAGAGGTGAACAAGTTACTGTGCAATTATTAAATATTGTGCAATTTTAAAGAGATTCTGAAGAGTATATGACTCTTCTATCAATATTTGCAAGGGAAAAAAGGCTGAGGCTTTTAAGAGTGAGAAAATATATATATCCCCACTTTTTTTTCAGTTCCACTTAGCTTTCACTTCAGCTTCACTTCAAAAAAGTACATATTCAGAAAGTGTAACTGTCCTGTTTCAACACACTCCCTTCCCCCAGTAACATTGTAAAACTACTTCCTGTATCACGTTACTTGGTGAATTGTCTTGATTACAGTTAATGTCACTATAGTTTATGAGCTCTTTCTTTTCATTATGTATAAATAACACAGGAGATGGATTTGGGTTTTGGGCGGGCAGAGAGGAAGGAAAGGATTACCAGTCCTGGCAATTACTACATTGAAAAGTGTCTCAAAATGCAAAGTCTGTCAGTATTTTTGCTATGCAGTATGTGATACTGTACAGATAAATTCAAAATCACTTACTTTGTGCAATTCTAGCTATGCAGAGCCATTTCTCTTTTTGTGAAGTGTTGCTCACGGCCCTAATCTGTACATTGTCAATCTGTTCTTTTTCTGAGCTTTTCCAAAACAATTGCATGGTCTCTCTTATAGAGGTCATTTCTCGAATCTGTCGCTTTGTCTGTACCCCTCTGGAAGAGCAGATCCCGGTAGTGACCAGAGGCATAATGTACTCTGCATCCCGCTCACCTTCCCCCTCCGTGAGTGTTTTTTTAGAACCTGCAGAGGACCAGAAGTGTGCCTGGGAGGCCGGGCAGTGCTTAGGTACGCAGTGCTTCTGTGCTCTCGAGTGCCTGTTCCAGTGCCACATGCGGCCTTGCTAGTAGGTTCAGAGGTGAGTTGGCTTTGGAGAGGTACTGCTTGGCATAATGGTATAGATATATTTAGGGTCATGTATTGTTTTCAATGCAATTGGTGTTTCAGGCTGAAGTTTCAACTGCTAGAGTCTAAAACTGCAGGTTCAGGAGAAGGACAGACCCAGAGACCAGCTGATTAATGCTCAATCAGCTGCTGGAAGAGGTCTGCTTGCCTTTCTGTCCTTTGTGAAGAGATAGCCCCCGTGTGGACTGTAAGCAGTAAGTGTTCCTGGGTTTTCTTCAGGTGGGCCTGAGCGATTTCCATTCCCAGAGAACATCAGTGCTAATGGTGAGAGAAGAACCCAGCAGTAGTATGTAATTTATTAACAAGCTCTAGAGAAGAAGAAACCTACTTTCCATTCTTCTTCTTGAAGAAGAATGCATTTCAAAAAGTGCTGAGTTGCCTTGGCTTGCCTGTTCCAAGGCCATTTGAAACTGATGACTAAGTAGCCCCACAGGATGCTCTTTTGGCCTGGATTTGCACTGGAACCTGTGTCACAATGTAGGGAACAAGTAAGGCCTGCAACTTGTGAGCAGGAAACGGGGGGGGGGGAATCCTAACATCTTACTTGAGCTGGAAAAGGAGCATGTCTCCTGTACCCTGTTTTAAACAAACCAACAGAAATAGTCACCCCCTCTGGAACAGTTCGCACTACCAAGCGTGTTGGAGCAAATCGTGTGGAAACAAAAGTTCAAGACATCCGTTCTAGTGATTTTTATGACAAGAAGACAGCCTGCAGCACTTGAAAAGGGGAGGCTAGGAAGGAATTGAGACAAAAGGACTAAAAGCGTAGGAGAAGTAAAAAGTATTAACACCAATATCTATTGACAACATTAGTCAGCATTTCTCCTAGGTCACCTCATCCCTCAGTCTTCTGTTAGCCCGCAGAGCTGTAGAAAGAGAGTTCTCTTTCTGGGTAGAGATTGTTGTCAGGCGATTGTATCACTAACGCCATTAAGACTGTACTCCAAGCACTGGAAATGTTAGAAGAGAATCTTAGTTGGTAAATGTAAGTGGAAACCTGTGCATTCCCCTGAAATCATCGTGTTTATTCAAGAGTAGTTACTTGTTTCTGGCCTTGGTCAGAATGGTGGGATATGACAGCTCTTTGTCCAAGTGAAGTTTTAAACGCGTGCAGAAATAGTGCTTATTGGATTGGTTTTCATTACAGGATTTAACATATTTCTAGACCTGAGAATAGTTACTATGTCATTAAATATAATTGTTTTGTTGGAAAGAGGAGTGGTATTAAGTATTTGATTTCCCTTGCTGTGCTTTCTTCAGTTACATGTTACAAACCACTCCACAGTCCTCAAATGAAAAGAATGTAAAGAAAGGTAAAATTGGAGCTTGAATGTTCATTTGATGAAGGTATTGTAAGATAGCACAAGGTTTTCGAAATGTATCCCAGACCCTAAGTGATACTTCCGTGTCGGTTATCTGAGATAGCAGGGATTATGTAAAGAATTTTGTTGAAGAATGCCATTCAGCTGTTGTCAAACGGAAGTACTGGAGAACAGTTTTGCTAAGTATAAATGCGACTATTGTTTTCCTCCAGTTTTTTACTTTGGAAGAAGTAATACTATTTCTGTTTGTGAAATGGGCAACGTGAAAACTTGAGACTTTAATTTTGCTTGGGTGATATGCTTGGAAATTTTCTAGCCTGCAGCATTAGTCTGCAGCAGATCCCTCAACAAAACAAAAGCAACGGAGGATGACAAAATGAGAATCCATGCAAAAGCATTCACCTGGAAATGTAGTTGGTGGTTTAATGCCACACCAGCTTTTCTCAATCTGTCTTCCTGCAGTACTTCTGGATAGGAATCCAATTCTGATGTAGATAGTACATTTTGATAGCTTTTCTTTATCAAATTTTAATGTGCTGTTCTAATTATATCTCACTTGTTTTACCTGTAAACTGTGGAGGGTGTCCAACCCAGATGCTGAATATAGCTCAGAAGAGAAATTGTTAAGGATCTTGCCCTGCCATAAAATTTAACTTAGAGAAGCACAATAGCATTACATATTGCAAGCTCTGCATTGTATAAAATTGAATAAAGATTTCGTTTTTCTGAACGCCCATTTGAGTTTTGTACTGAAGGTATTCCGCAAATGCTAGGCACTGGAAGCTGCAACTTGCTGAAAGGCTGACCACTTCTCTTGTTTCCTGACATGTGAGTCTTTGGGTCATGTAACCAGCATATGTGGTAGTCACACAGTAGGGGAGGGACTGTGTTGGGAGCTGCGTAGGCAAATTTTCCTTCCTGCCAGGCTCTTTTTGCACAAGACCTGACCGGGTTTGCCTGTTGTGTGACACCCGATAACTGCAGACAGGGCAGCCTGGAAGGGGATGGAGTAAAGGAGTGTCAGGGCTGCTCATTTGTGAGGGCCACATACGATGCCTGGGACTTGGCATGTGTGCTTTGAGGAAAGTGTTTTTTCAAATGTCGACACTTCAATAAAATAAAAAATTGGAACAAATCTGAATTGTATGTTGTGTGAATTCTAGTGTGCTGTTCCTATCCAAGAGAAGCCTTATGAAAATGATGTAGGACTATGTTTTCTCTGACAGAAGGGTTATGAAATGCCCTTAATACAAAAACGTTGTCCAGCTCATAAGAAACAGTAAGTACTTGGATGTTTTCTCACATCAGTGGGGATGCACCAAATACCTGAGAAGTAAATGAGCTTTAACATTCTTAACCAGTTAATGCGAGGAGAGCACATTAAATTAGAGAGCTCGTAAAGGTGGATGCACTTACCACATTTCTTGGATGTTTACCTGGGATAAAAGATGGAGCCTGTTGCTGTGGGAGGTGGCATATAGCTAAATTTCTTGCAGAGTGGGATGCTGGTACCTTTGTGTATCAGTCAAGGCAGGTTATCACAAGCTTCCTACTGGTCACTTAAAAGAGGGAGAACAGTCAAGGAATCGCAGCGTTTGCTGTCCCCTAGGTCTTGCTGTAGAAAACTGTTCTTAGTACCAGGAAGAAGTTGCTCCACATATGGGAGCTGGAGCAAATCTTGTTTCTCCATCATGAAGAAATGCTGCGTGGCATACGTTAGAGTCACAGACATAAATATTTCCTATACTCCGTTCTGAATTTGGATGCCGGGTGTTGGTGCTGTTCCGGCAGTAATTACTTCCCAGACGTAGTGGGCAGTGTGGACTCGGTGAGAACAGACAGAAAACACCTGCTGCCTCAGGAGTACACCTGGCTTACCTTACTCACGACTGGCAATGTCACAGTGCGCCGTTAGAAGGTAGTGCCCATGTATGTTTAATTCACATTGAAAACTTTTATTCTATTGTGTTAGGTGTGCTTTAAAAGTATGCAATTTGGGGTAAGATGTAATTATACGATCTAGTCTGCAGAGGGCAGAGCAACACCACCGAGTGTTACAGTTCAGGCTTCTGCTTCACGAATACAAG